ATTTCTGCTTCTTTGACTATATGTTTCCTAGACATGGCCCATGCTTTTGTCGATGATTCTCTCCGTTGCTTCTTTCTTCGTCTGTGCCCTTCTATACAATGGATTTGTAACAGCTGAGTGGACATGGACAAACGTTAAGGACACTCCAGCCTCTACGGCGCAATTAGCTATGATTGACCCTGTCTTCTGGCTGGTAAGTGAGAGACCTGGATTGTTACGAAGAAAAAAGAACTACTCTTTCCTTAGGTGCAACTAATTTCGATCGTGCTATGTCTCATTCCACGTTTCACATTGATGACAATCGTGAACTCTTTACGACCGTCTCGAGTGTTGAAGCGGCGTCAACTGGCAAATGCTATGGATAATAAGCCGCGCCCATTCACTGCCTTTTCTTGCTGCATGCGGGTATTATGCAACGAAGAAGTACATGTAAATGTGAGTGACTCAATCTCGGTACTGACGGCATATACAAGGGTTCAAAAAAGTTCATTCATTTTAGAAATCTCAAGAAACCGGTTCACGAAGTTTGCCAGCTTGACTTACGTCTTTTCCTCGAGAATGTAGTTTGCTAGTTGAGTCTACCAACCTCCGTTCTTTTAACCTCGTGCTATTAACATTTCACTGGTCTAAAATATCACTTAATCACATTTTCTTCAGTCATCTCTCACTTATCTTCTCATTTTAATTTACTAAACTGCCTTATGTTCAAAACATGTCACATTTTAAGGGCTAAAGAATCCGTAAATGAATGGCCTAACTTAACAAAATAGTTATTGCTTATAACTTGCTTTCACTTGCTTTTTCTGTGATGATGTGATTGATGTTGGGCCCCGTTGGCTCAGTGGTAATGTATTATGTTGCTCATTTTTTTATAATATCAAACTTTGTCTCATATGTGATAATAGGAAGTCAATTGTTGAGAACATGCAGGTATGTATGCAATGATTCTTACAAGTAAATATTTCAAAATGATTTTAAACATACTTATGTTGAACTTACAAAGCTCACATATCACATTTAATTACTTACGCTAAATCCTCTGATATACATCAGCTGCAATGGTAATTATGAGGTAAACTTCCTAGTACCAAAAGTCCATACACAGATGGGCTTGGAAGTGAAAAGGGAATATCTGAAATATTTTGGTCGCTTTGAGTACGCTTGACCAACATTACAGCTCTCACAGTATTCATATATCAGAAACTTTTCTACAATATAACTTAGTTACCTAAAATAGCAACAAGCCACATGAGGGCGTAATCCTCCTTGTAACGTTGTTTGTAGATCCAAAGATAGAAAATAAAGGAGTAAATGAAAAAGATGCTCTGCTGCATTGGGACCTGAGGTAGTGCCGTTTTACACAACTTCTTCCCTATTTTACGAAATTT